AGTAATAAACAAGCTGTGCCAGTGGCATTTTTCAGCTTGGAAACTAGGGGTCCCTGTGGATTGTTTTCCACTATACTTTACAACATTTTAATATATCAGATATGTTTCTTAGAAAAAATAAGGTGTTTAGTTTTTAATGACAAATAAACTGCCTAATAGAAAGACATTTAAAACATTTATTAAAATTGTTTAATACCCATTTTCTTGGATCACAATGGCATGAAACTAGAAACCAAACTCAAGGAAAGAACTCAAAAACATTCAAATACACGGAAGCTAAATACCATGTTATTAAATAATGAATGGGTGATCAATGACATCAAGGAAGAAATAAAAAATACCTGGAAACAAATGGAAATGAACACACAGCAACCCAAAATCTATGGGACACAGTGAAGGCAGTATTGAGAGAGAGATTCAATGCATTACAGGCCTACCTCTAACCCTACACCTAAAAGAACTAGAAAAACAACAACAGACAAAGCCAAGAGTAAGCAGAAGGAAGGAAATAATCAAGATCAGAGTGGAAATAAGTGACATAGAAACTAAAAAAACAATCCAAAAGATGAATTACACCAGGAACTGGTACTTTGAAAAAATAAACAAAATTGGTGAGCCTTTAACCATACTCATCAAGAAAAAAAGGATAGGACCCAAATAAATAAAATCAGAAATAAAAGAGAAGTAACAGCAAATATCACAAGAAATACAAAGGTTTATAATAAGAAAATACTATGAATAGTTATACTCCAAGAAATCGAACAGCATGGGTGAAACAGATAAATTTCTAGAAATGTACAACCTTCTCAAACTGAATAAGGAAGAATCAGAAAACCTGAATGGACCCCTAACAGCTAATGAAATTGAAGCAGTAATCAAAAAACTACCAGGAAACAAGTGCTGGACAGGATGGCTTCACAGACGATTTTAGCAGTCACTCAAAGAACTATCACCTGTCCTTCTCAAACTATTTCAAAATTTTCAAGAGAAGGGAAGAATTCCAAGCTCTGTTTATGAGGCTGGTATCCTAATTCCAAAACCAGATAAAGACACACAACAAGGAGCCCTGACCAGCATGGCTCAGTTCTTTGATCATTGTGTCATAAAGCAAAAGGCCACTGTTTTGATTCCCAGTCAGGGCACATGCCTGAGTTGCGGACCTAGTCCCTCATACGGGTATGTGTGATAGCAACCAGTCAATGTTTCTCTCATACATAGATATTTCTCTTCCTCTCTTTCGCCTTCCCTTTCCTGCTCTAAAAATAAATAAAATCTCCCCCCACCCCCCACTAAAAAAAGACAACAAGGAAAGAAAACGATAGGCCAGTATCCATGATTAATATAGATGCTAAAATGCTGAACAAAATGTTCTCAAACTGGATCTAGAAATACATTAAAAAGATCACACACCATGATCAAGCAGGATTCATCCTAGAGATGCAAAGCTGGCACAATATCCACAAATCAATAAATGTGATACATCACATAAAATGAAAGACAAAAAACACATGATCATGTCAATAGATACAGAAAAGGCATTTGATAAAATTCAGCATCCATTTATGATGCCAACACTCAGCAAACAGGAATAGGGGGAGCATACCTCAACATAATAAAGGCCATATACAAAAAACCTAAAGCCAACATCATACTCAATGGGCAAAAACTAAAAGCATTTCCCTTAAGATAAGGAACAAGGACATCCCTATGTCCACTTTCACCACTCTTACTCAACACAGTACTGGAAGGTCTAGCTATAGCGATCAGACAAGAAGAAAGGCATCCAAAATGGAGAGGAGGAAAACTCATTGACAGACAACATGATATTATACATAGGAAACCCTATAGGCTCCACCAAAAAACTACTAGACCTAATAAATGAATGTGGTAAAGTTAGCAGGGTACAAAATTAATTATCAGGAATTAATGGCATTTTTATACACCAATATTGAACTATTAGACAAACTAACAAAATCCCATTTACTATTGCATCAACAACAACAAAAAAAGGAAGATACCTAGGAATAAATTTAACCAAGGAGGTAAAAGACCTATACAAAAAAAACTATAGGGTACTTTAAGAAATTGGGGAAGATAACAAATAAGTGGAAGCATTTACAGCCTTCATGGATTAGAATAATTAACATTATTAAAATGGCCAGAGTGCTTTGGCGGTATGACTCAGTTGGAGCATTATTTCATAAACCAAAAGGTTGCAAGTTCAGTTCCTGGTCAGGGCACATGCTTAGATTGTGGGTTTTATCCCTGGTCTGTGTGCATGCAAGAGGCAACCAATCAGTGTTTCCCTCTCACATTGATGTTTTTCTCTCTCTTCCTCCCTTTCTCTCTCTACAATCAATAAGCACATCCTTGGTTGAGGATTATAAAAAAGAAAAAAACTCTTGAGTTCCTTGATATTTAGTATTCAACTAAAAAAGTTGTTGCACTCCTGTTATAATCTGTGCTAAGCAAAGCAACTGCAAGGACTCTTAAGATATTATTCTGCCCCTTAGTACTGTACTGGGGTTCATATTTTGGTAATAATAAGTTAAAACAAGGTTAGTTTCTTTTTTATTTTTATTTTTTATGTTTTATTGATTATGCCATTACAGTTGTTCTATTTCCCCCTTCATTCCCCTCCACCCTGCACACCCCTCCCCTACCATTCCCCCCCTTAGTTTGTGACCATGTGTCTCAAGTTCTTTAGATTCCATATTTCCCCTACTATTCTTACCCTCCCCCTATCTATTTTCTGCCTACCATCTATGCTACTTTTTTTCTGTACCTTCTCCCCCCTTCTCCTCCTCCCACTCCCCTGTCGCTAACTCTCCATGTAATCTTCATTTCTATGGTTCTGCTCCTGATCTAGCTGTCCTCTTAGTTTGCTTTTGTTTTAGGTGTGGTTGTTAATAAATGTGAGTTTGCTGTCCTTTCACTGTTCATCTTTTTTACCTTCTTTTTCTTAGATAAGTCCCTTTAACATTTCATATAATAAGGGCTTGGTGATGATGAACTCCTTGAATTTGATCTTATCTGAGAAGCACTTTATCTGTCCTTCCATTCTAAATGAAAGCTTTGCTGGATAGATCAATCTTGGTTGTAGGTCTTTGGATTTCATGACTTGGAATACCTCTTTCCAGCCCCTTCTTGCCTGTAAGGTCTCTTTTGAGAAATCAGCTGACAGTCTGATGGGAACTGTTTTGTAGGTGACAGTCCCCTTATCTCTTGCTGCTTCTAGGATTCTCTCCTTCATTTTAATCTTGGCTAATGCAATTATGATGTGCCTTGGTGTGTTCCTTGGGTCCAACTTTTTTGGGACTCTCTGAGCTTCCTGGATTTCCTGGGAGTCTATTCCTTTGCCAGATTGGGGAAGTTCTCCTTTATTATTTCTTCAAATAAGTGTTCCACTTGCTCTTTCTCTCCCACTTCTGGCACCCCTATAATTCGGATGTTGGAGCGTTTAAAGATATCCTGAAAGTTCCTAAGCCTCTCCTCATTTTTTTAAATTCTTGCTCGTTTATATTTTTCTGTTTGGTCATTTTTTTCTTCCTTCTGGTCCACTCCCTTGATTTGAGTTCCAGTTTCCTTTCTATCACTATTGGTTTCCTGTGCATTTCCCTTCATTTCACTTAATTTAGCCTTCATTTGTTTCTCTAATTTGTGACTAAAATCAACCAGTTCTGTGAGCATCCTGATCACCAGTGTTTTGAACTGTGCATCTGAAAGTTTGGCTATTTCTTGGTTGCTTAGAGTTATAGGCTCTGGGGCTTTGAGATCTTCTTGAGCCATTTTTGGTCTGTTTGTGCTGGTTAAGTATGAGGAGTGGAGCCTTAGATGTTCACCAGGGCGGGGCTGCCCAGGTCGCTGGATTGTGATGCTGTATGTGGGGGCGGGGTCAAAGAGGGGCATTGGTAGTCCCCTCTGCTTCCGTTTGCTGGGGCCTGCGCAGTCTGTCTCACTACTCGCTCCTTCGCTGGTTTATCTGTGCATGAATGTGTGACCAAGATCAGCCTGCCGCCTTGTGCCCTCAGTGGGTCCACCCATTGCTACCCCACACTTGGGATCTGCCCACAGCTGCCCGTGCACCTGGGTCAGGGGATCTTTCCTGCCCAACCCAGCTCCGCTGCTGGCTCTGCCCCTCTTACTGGTCTAACTGAATGGTTCGTTGTTGTCCGACTTCCGTATAGTTCAATTTTCTGTGTTTTGGCTGCGTTTTTTGTTACTAAAACTTTGTTGTCTTTAAACTTGGTTGTGCGAGAAGGCACAGTATTTCCACCTATGCCTCTATCTTGGAGGAAGTCCAAAACAAGGTTAGTTTCTTCAGTAAATAAGGTCCCTTGAGTAGAGTTTAAAATTGGCGCATTTTTTCATGATTTCACAGAATTGCAGTCTGTAGAAAGTGATGTCATAGTATGAGTTCAGCCTATTTCAGAATTTGTTAAAGATATGAATATATCTTTAAAGTAGTTAATTTTCTCTATACTTGCCAAGTCAGTTCTTTAGATCTTCATAAAGTATAAAAATCTTGGAGTTCAAATATAAATCGTTTACTAGTTGAAAATATTTTGATGTTTTCTTAGAATCTTAGCTCTATTGAGGTATTATTGACAAATAAAATAGAAAAATGAAATAAGCATCTTAGTGATTTGATAAATATATACATTATGAGAGAATTTCTACCCTCTGGCGTTAACACCTTCATCACCTCATTTACTTACTTACTTGTTTTAAATATTTTATTTATTTATTTTTAGAGAGAGGGGACAGGAAGTAGAAAGAATGGGAGAGAAACATCAATGTGTGGTTGCCTCTCATGTGTCCCTTACTGGGGACCTGGCCTGCAACCCAGGCATATGCCCTGCCTGGGAATGGAACTAGCGACCCTTTGCTTCACAGGCCTGTGCTCAATTCAGTAAGCTACACCAGCCAGGGCTACTTACTTATTTTTTTATGAAAATATTTAAATTCTATTCTAAAAATATTCTGTTTTTGTTCTGTAGATTACGAGCAGGATTATGTGATCGCTGTGCGGTAACTGAAGAACATATGCGGAAAAAACAGCAAGAATTTGAAAATATCCGGCAACAGAATCTTAAACTTATCACAGAACTTAGTAAGTTTCCTTTCTTCATTTAATAAGTATTTAAAGCAAAATATACTATTATTAAAACCTATTAGTAAATTTGTTTACACATATTTTTATTATTTAGGCAAAAGTTTAAATGTCCTTTTCCCTTTTGTTAGATATAATCTCATAATTATTTTAGTAAGAAATACTTAACAAAAGGTTATGTACATACTGTCTACATTGGCCTTGAAGTCTCACCAGCTCTAAGAAAAGAAGCAAATTTCTTACAGATATGTTCATATTTGCTTCTTTGGTTTTACCTTTATTTTATGTAATTTAACTATTAAGCAAAATACAAAGCAAACAATTTAGTGTTTTACAGAAGTGCATACTTTTTTTTTTTTTTATGACATACTATTACAAGTATACAGTTTTCAGTTAGGTTCCATATCCACTTAATGTAGGGTTTTCTCTCACTCTTAGCCTTTTTCTTATAACCTTTTTCTCTTCTACTGCCTCTCTTAATTTTTTCTTTTACCTATTCATATACTCTTAGTCACCCTTACCTGGATTACCTATAAGCTAACTGACAATCCACTTGTCCAAAATATAGTTAATCTTCGTTTCCAACCTAATTCCATCTTCTGACTATATTTTTTTCTTTTGTGTTACTCAAGCAAAAATGCATGGATACATGCTCAATATTTTAGAAAGAGATAAAAAGAACATGGTAGTTACTACTGACAGTCTGATGAGTATCTTTCTAGGTCCAGGTTTGTCTCTCTCCCTGTCTCTGTTCTTTGTTTTTGCCTCTTAAATTTTAATGGGGTCATATTATACTTTTTGTTCTGACATGTGTTATTTTATGTTATGTCTTAGAAGTGTTTACATGTTAATATAGTTAGGTCTACAGATTCTTGTGTGTGTGTGTGTGTGTGTGTGTGTGTGTGTACATGCATGTGTTTATTTAGGAATGGAAGATGATGAGTAGAAATTAACATTTATTACATTTCAAAAACATAGTTGATATCCATCATTATGTTATCATTGATACTAAAGATACTCTCCAGTAATGTCTGTGTATAGTAGTCAGATTTCCAGTAACTTTAACTGTCTGAAAATGGCCAAAAATTCCAAGTAAGCAAAAGACCTAGCTTTAAGGAATAGGACAGTATTCTTTTTCGTTGCTGCATTATAGCATAGATCTTTCATAGTATAGATGTTATTATTTAGCCATTCTCATATCGATGGACAGCTGAATTATTTTGTTTGAGCGTTTGAAATTATCCCTTTCCCTACATCTTCAATTTTGGACAAATGTGGTAGTTGATAATACCCAATCTAGTGTGTAAAGAATGATAACCTTTTTAAAATTAGCATTCTCCTTATTATTGTCCAGATGAAGTATCTTTTCACATGATGTTCAGTTTGCATTTCTTCTTGAATGAATGGCTTGAATATTTTTTGTTTAATTTTCAGACAGCTAAAATATTCATGAGTTTTCAGTACTAGAGGTCTGTTACTAACCTTTTCTCTAATAACATCTATATCTCCTTTCTTCCACACTGAGAATCCTGCTTCTCAAGAACACAGAAATAATAGAATTAAAATACCTCCTAATACTCATTTTTAATTAGGAGTATTAAAATACCTCCTAATACTCATTTTTTGCTCATTTTTAATAGAATTAAAATACCTCCTAATACTCATTTCTTCCACACTGAGAATTCTGCTTCTCAAGAACACAGAAATAATAGAATTAAAATACCTCCTAATACTCATTTTTTTAATCTTATATTACTAGCTAGTAGTTTCATAATAACACCACTGATAGTACCACTGATATGAATACTGAAAAGTTTGGGAAACCTCATTTTACATTAAAATGAGCAACAGAAAACTCAATGAAGTCAAATTCCAGAAAACTCAATGAAGTCTTATAAGAATTAAAACACTAAGGGCTTAATATTTATGAGTTCTTGGTGTTTCTGTTTTATTGCTACTTTTTCTTCCTATCCTACCTTTCTTTTTGTTATTACTCTTCCTAGTTATAGAATTTTTTAAAATATTTTATTTATAGTTTAGAGATAGGAGAAGAGAAAGAGAAAGAGAGAAACATTGATGTGAGAGAAAAACATAGATTGGTTACCTCTCACATGCCCCCAACTGGGACTGGGATCACTCACACCCAGGTATGTGCCCTGACAGGGCATCTAACCAGTGCCCTTTTGGTTTGCAGGATGACACTGACCCACACCAACCAGTCATCCCAGTTACTAAATTTTGAGGATATTTGTTTTTCTTATTTTAATTTGATTCTTACTTTGATACTATCAGTTTATTGAAGGAAAATGTCTTGGTTGTGTCATTTGCTTTTCGACACCAAGTGTCACAGCTTTAATTTGATTTTTTTACCTGGTTTTATAAAAATATTTTGTTTATTTATCTTTAGAAGGGAAGGGAAGGAGAGAGGGAGAGAACTATCAATGTACGGTTGCCTCTCGTGCGTCCCCTGTTGGGACCTGGCCTGCAACCCAGACATGTGCCCTGACTGGGAATCCAACTGTGTTGTTTGGTTTATAAGCCCACACCCAATCCACTGAGCTGCACCAGCTGGGGTTGGTTGCCTTTTTTTTAACGCCTATTTCTGTTCTTTTTGATCAACCTTAAAATTTTGCCACGCATTTGTAACAGTATAAAGTTGATATCTTAACCCTGTTCTGAATTACTTTAGTTTTCATCTGCTAGTGACAGCCTTTCTGGCTTTTCAGTATTGTAATTGACTTTCCTTTAGAGTTGTTTTGTCATTTCATTGGATTTTGACAGGAAGAGTCAAGTAAACTATCTTAATCAGAATCTTTTTTTTTTTTTTTTTACCCTACAAAGGATGAGTTGCTAAATAACTACTGAATCTGCCTCTGTAACAGCTCTTTTGCTTTCTCATTTACTATTTCTTCACTTTGCACATTAGTCCTGATACTCATTTTGTTAACAGTAGCCTGCCTGACTTGTCAGTGCTTTCTTCTTACTTTGGTCAGTATTCCTACTAACAAATCAGTCTTCGCATCATTCATCTGTGAAAAATAACTGATAATTAAAAAAAATAAATTTCGGACTTCTTAGCCTTCTTTGAAAGACTTTCTACCATTTATTATACCTAGTCTTTGTTTGTTTTTTAATCTTTACCCAAGGATATGTTTATTAATTTTAGAGCAAGAGACAGAGGGAGAAAGAGCAATATCAGTGTGAGAAAGAAACACTCATCAATTGCCTCCCACACGCACCCTGACCAGGTATATGCCCTGACTGGGAATGGAACCCGCAGCCCTTTGGTGTATGGGACCATGCTCCAATCAGCTGAGCCAGCCAGCCAGGGCTGCGCAGTCTCTTTCTAACTTTGTTGCATTAATTCTCTGTATAGATTAGTCACCTGTCCAGTTCATTTGGCCTCTTTGCGATGAATTCTTTTCTGATCTTCTCAAGTGCCCAGAGAAATCTTTTTTTTCCTTGACCTTTTCTTTAGTATTTTATCTGTTCCTCTCTGTATTTTGTCACTTTCAGCTGTATAAAACATGTTTATAGCCCTGGCTGGTGTGGCTCAGTGGACTGAGTGCAGGCCTGTTAACCAGAGGATGGTGGTTCGATTCCCAGTCAGGGCACATGTCTGGGTTGCAGGCCAGGTCCCAGCAGGGGTCACACGAGAGGCAACCATACATTGATAGTTCTCTCCTTATCTCCTTCCTTTCCCCTTAAAAAAAAAAAAAGAAATGTTTATACAATAGCTTGTCTCTCATTAGACTACACTTTTCTTTAGGTCATTTTCCAAATCTGAAGTGATTTCAGATCCTCCACAGGAGGTAGTCTAGCAACCTCACAAATTATTTTGTTTACTCAATGTAGGAAAATATGTTTAGATTTCTAAAATACTAAATTGAATTAACAAATTTTTAGAATATGACTAACTCTTTGGTAGAGGTTCATTGTATTTATTACAACTCGATCTCTGGTGTATATTCTTCCTAGTAAAACACATGCTTAACCACTAACATTATAATAAGGATTGATAAGAATTTTGTACTGGCCCAAAATTGAGTTTTTGCTTTATAAATTAAATAAGGATAGGTAAGAATATTTAGTTGAGGGTAGATTCAAGCAGATATTACTTCAGTGGAAATGTTTTCATTATTGATACCGTAATTATTCATGAAATATAAAGTATGACTAAAGAAGAAAATAGGATATGTGTTCTGTTTTAAAAATTATACTGATATTCAATGTTATGTTACTTTTATGGTTGGATTTATTTCAAGATAAATGACTCGCACTAAATGGTATTTGAAATTAGTAGGACTGAGTAACCAGATGGAATGCTTTCTTGTCCTCAGTATGAATAATTAGACTCTGCTCCCCAGAACATGAGGTTTTTTTTTTTCTTTTTTGCCTGCACACATTACATAAAATTATTAGTCAATCTACATGGAACTGGCACAGTATGAGATGTAATCACTACCTAGTAACAAATTAGTTTTTCATGGTAACATTAATCCTGACTAACATTTTGACTTAGAACTAGAAATCCTAATGTCTCTATAATTGTTGGCATTGCGAAAAAGACTGACATATATGTTAATGGAGTTAATAGTATGTGCCTTCTTTCTCACATTATATTTAAGTGAATGAAAAGAACACTCTACAGGAAGAAAATAAAAAGCTTTCTGAACAGCTGCAGCAGAAAATTGAGTAAGTATTTTTTCTAAATTGCAATAAAAAATTGAATATTTTTTTGCCAATTTTTCTTTCTTCATTTTACTTAGCTTTACAAACTAAAGTTATATTGAGTTGCAGATTTCATTTAAAAAATTTAAAAATGTTTTGCAATAAAAATAAAATTACTATATTTTCATGTTTTGGGAGTACATACAAAAAATTTATGCATATCTTAGATTACTGTGAGAGTATATAGAGAAAATATCTGAGCATATTATTTTAAAGCATTTTAATTTTAATAGTATAATAAGTACTATTATAAATAGTACTTATTAAAATACTTATATTTCAAATAAATACTTGAGTTTTGTTACCTTTCTTCTAGCCCTGTTCCAGAAGCTTCATAAAAACAAACTGAATCTAAGTATTTCTTCGTACACACTTGTCAGACCACACTTTTAAAGAATAAAAATAACTTTTATCCTATTTACCAGTTACTCCTCTTTGTGTTTTATGTTTATTATTTCTGTTGTTCACTATGATTCTTCAAGGTAGTTTTATCTGTACTTTATGGATGAGGAAAACAAAGCTCACAAAAGTCAAATAACTAGCCTTGGTATCACTGCTAGTATGTTATAACACCATCACTCAGACCCATATCTTCTAACTTAAGGCCTCTGTTCTTTTCATTATGTGATAGCATCTCAAAAAAATATGGCATCTTGATATATATAATATGTTCCCACTGTGTAATGTGCACCCACATTATTGGCCCAGACTTTCAGGAAATAAAATTTTTCATTTTAATCCAATTATTTATTTATTTATACTTAAAAACACAACCAATAATCATATTCCAGGGTATTAGTTTGCACATAGATATTATTATTGCTTTCTAGAGTTATACTTGTAATGCGTAAGCAGCATAAATAAAAGAATTAAAAACTTATATAGATATAGAATTAGTACTACCCATGTATAATTTGTATCCTTATTTTTCCCTCAAAAATTTGGGCAAAAAAGCATGCATTATACACGGCAAAATACAGTTATCTATTCTGGGGGTATGGTCTGACTGATGCAGAGAAGAGATATGGCCGCCTCTTATTTTCCATTTACATAAAGCTTATATGATATTTTTTTAAGAATTAGAATTTGGGATAGACCTAATGGTTTAGGACTCTTAAAGATTCTCTTATATTAGAGTAGACATGTATAGCAATTTTGGTACAAATTATGCAGAGGTAACATTTTTGGGGGGCTTAGAAGAGTTACTGTCTTTTGTATAAACATATTCTTACAGGTAGAGTTAATATCCTTATCAGTATACTTTTATGTAGTGGATGTCCAGTAGGATTTTGGTATTCCTCCCATGTGATCAGTTCACTGTGTACTGGTAGTCAAAGGGAATTTTGAGGAGGGATAATAGTCAGATGAAGAAAGAAGGCTAGGGATCAGACTGAGGTTGTCAAACGTGTACAGGAAAATGTCCTCCTGTTGTAGATTGAAGTGAGGTTGGAACATAGATTCACAATCTTTTATATATAATTCTAAACCCCCCAATTTTTTTTTTGAAATGGTATTCATAACTGAACCTTACCTTAACTGACCGGATGCTATTTATAGTTTTATTTATCCCACCACTGCATGTGAGTATTTGATGCTTTGCTGTGAAAATATTGATGTGCTTGACTACAGGATTATAATACCTCCACTAGAGATGTTATATAATAATCTGTTTATGCTCTGTATTATCCATCATGTAAAAAAAAAATCTGTACTCCGAATTACATCTGCTTTCAAAGATTACATAGATAATTGTCAACCTGTATTGATTTATATTATGCGAAGTTATTTAGCACAGATAGCGTATGATATTTGGAACATAACAACCTTGGTGTTTATGAATACTGAAGATATATAATATTTACATATTATAGTGGTTAATATAACAACCAAGGTATATAAAGTGTATTGAAATAAAATAATGTCATTGCTTAGTAGAAGTATTGATTCTGATTACTTTAAAATTAGTTTATTTTTAGTGTTCTCAAATGTATATATTTTTCCTGTTGAGGCTCATTGATATTTTAGAGAAGATGTAAAAGCTTAAGTTTAAATTACATTAAATATTAATCATGTGGATGAGCTCAGGGCAAGTATGTTTATTTAGGATATGCCTTAGTCAAAATAGTGTAGGAAGTAATTTATTGTGTCTTTCAATTAATTCTCTTTTGAAATTTAAGATAGTTATTTTTTAAAAATATATTTTATTGATTATGCCATTACAGTTGTCCCCCTTCACTCCCCTCCACCTGAACACCCCCTCCCCCCACATTCCTCTCCTTTAGTTCATGTCCATGTGTCACAAGTTCTTTAGCTTCTACATTTCCCATACTATTCTTGCCTTCCCCCTGTCTATTTTCTACCTACCGTCTATGCTACTTATTTTCTGTACCTTCTCCCTCTTTCTCCTCCTCCCACTCCCCGGTTGATAACCCTCCATGTGATCTCCATTTCTATGGCTCTGCTCCTTACCTAGCTGTCCTTTTAGTTTGCTTTTGTTTTTTAAGTGTGGTTGTTAATAACTGTGAGTTTGCTGTCTTTCACTATTCATATTTCTTATCTTCTTTTTCTTAGGTAAGTCCCTTTAACATTTCATACAATAAAGACTTGGTGATGATGAACTCCTTTAAGTTGACCTTATCTAAGAAGAGCTTTATCTACCCTTCCACTCTTTGCTGGATAGAGCCATCTTGGATGCAGGTCCTTGCCTTTCATGACTTGGAATACTTCTTTACAGCCCCTTCTTGCCTGTAAGGTCTCTTTTGAGAAATCAGCTGACAGTCTGATGGGAACTTCTTTGTAGGTGACTGTCCCCTTATCTCTTGCTGCTTTTAGAATTCTCTCCTTCATTTTAATCTTGGCTAATGTAATGATGATGTGCCTTGGTATGTTCCTCCTTGGGTCCAACTTCTTTGGGACTCTCTGTGCTTCCTGGACTTCCTGGAAGTCTATTTCCTTTGTCAGATTGGGGAAGTTCTCCTTTATTATTTGTTCATATAAGTTTTCCACTTGTTGCTGTTCCTCTTCCCCTTCTGGTACCCCTAAAATTCGGATGTTAGAACGTTTAAAGATGTCCTGGAGGTTCCTAAGCCTCTCCTCATTTTTTAAAATTCTTGCTTCTTCACTCTTTTCTGTTTGATTATTTCTTCCTTTTTTCTGGTCCACTTTATTGGTTTGAGTCCCCGTTTTGTTTCCATCACTATTAATTCCCTGTGAATTTTGCTTCATTTCACTTTGTAGCCTTCATTCTTTCATCTAATTTGTGACTCAAATCAACCAGTTCTGTGAGGATCCTGATCACCAGTGTTTTGAACTGTGCATCTGATAGGTTGGCTGTCTCTTTGTTGCTGTTCTTCTGCTTGACCTGTTCTTCTCCTTGAGCCATAATGTTTTGGTCGGTTTTCAGGTAGAGCCTTAGGTGTTCACCAGGGTCTACCCAGTCACTGGGTTGTGACTGGGGGCGGGGTCAGAGAGGGAGCAATGGCATTTGCTGGGCTCTCTCTCCGATTTTGATCCCCTCTGCCACTTCCCACAAGCAAATTGGGCCCTTCTGATGCTGGTTCCCAGGTGGGTGGGCTTGTGTACATTCTAGGACCCTATGGATCTCCCCAACGAACTGTTCTGTGAGGCTGGGAGCCTCTTCCGGCACCTCAATCCCTGAAAGTTTTTTCAGTTGGTGCTTTTAGGCTTTATTTCCTAGTGCTGGGGCCCTGGGTTGCATGGTCTGTCTCACTAACGTTTTTAAACCTGCCTGGTATATCTACGTGCGAATGTGTGTTCGAGGTCAGCCAACTGCCTTGCGTGCCTCACTGGGTCTGCTTATTTCCTCCCTGTGCCCGGGTGGCCAACCAACACCTGTTACTGCTGGGACCCCTCTCTGCCGGCCGCTGACTCCACCCCTCTTACTGATCTGGATGAATGGTTCGTTGTTGTCGGACTTCGGTACAGTTCAGTTTTCTGTGTGTTTTTGTTTCTAAATCTTTGTTGTCCTTAAATTTGGTTGTGGGAGGAGGTACAGTGTTTCCACCTACGTCTCCATCTTTGCCAGAAGTCCTAAGATAGTCTTTATTCTTATAAGGCAACTTCTTTGTAGCTTGCTCTCCTTAAGCAAATTTTCTAGGCAGCTTAAAAAAAAATAGCAAGTATTGTCTCAATGGTACCTGGTTTCCTCTGACTACCTAATTGTAACATTATACCATGTGCCTGAAATTCCCCTGAACTTTTAGAAAAAATGTCGACCTATATTTCTGCTTGTAAAATGTAATAATTCTAACTCACATAAGCTGGTTTTGATGTTACAGATGCCTTATATGGTAGGACAGTTATTTAGTGACATTATAGTGAGAAATTATTAAGTAACAATTTGTCATTATAAAGTTTAATAGTTGATACATACACACACGTCACAGAAAGCAGATAATTAAATAAGCTAGGTATTGGGGTCATTACTCTTTTTGTTTCAGGAAATGGATATGATGGTTTGGTGTAAATCAAAGGTGTCTACACTTAAGTCTATATACACTTAAGGTAGGATTCATTTCATTCACTGCCCTCTTCTAAGTGGACAGTTAAAAATAAAGTTGGTTTCATTTTGTTTTTTAAGATGAACTACACTGCTGTCTTTTGAATTGAATTCTTTGTATGACTTCTTTGAGAAAGAGCATTAAACGAGCACCTCTAGCACAAATTCACTGTTTCCCAAGCCTATTTACTATTAGCGAGATGAAAGTATTAGAAAGTTATTTCTAACTTTGTGTAGGAATCACTGTACTTATGAGTTATATTTGTCAATTCTGATTTTGCTTTCTCTGGCTTTTTCTACTTGGTGGTCTTTTGTGTACATGAAGACAGGCATCATGGCCCTCCCGAGTCTTGTCTTAGAGTCGGTGTCCTCTGTTCATGAACTGTTCCTCATGTGGTGTGACTTCAAGACTGGTCAAAATACTATTTCTCTTTAATGTTTTAGT